CAAAAAAAAAAAAAAAGAATACCACACTATACATTGTAATACTATTTTTCTGTAATTTATAACCAAGTTTCCTATTTTACTCTGCTTACTTTACTTAGATTATTTCTACCTCATTCCTAGAATACTCAAATCATCTCACATTTTACCCTCTTATTATTACTACTGTATTGTGGTCTGTTGTCCTGGCCACTTTTGGGTAAGAAGTTTTCAGTAATTTCACTTTGAGTGCAGTGCCCAGTCATGATATAGGCTCAAGGCAACTTATTGGCAAATCAGCTTTGAAAAAAAAAAGTCTGGACTAGCAACACCTTCTCTCATGCTATAAATGACTCCTATATATATATATATATATATATTTTAATATATCTTTATTGATTTCAGAGAGAGGAAGGGAGAAGGAGAGAGAGAGAGAGAAACATCAATGATGAGAGATTTGTCATTGATCAGCTGCCTCCTGCAGACCCCCGTCTGGGATTTTTCTTAATGTCTTACCTTTATTCCTCCACATCTAGCCCTTGAGTGTATTGGGAGTGCAAGATGTTGGTTCCAGGGAGGTGGGTCATGAACCCACATGGTGTGGGTTCAGTGTTGAACCCACTTGGATCCCATGAACCCACATGGATCAGAGGCTCATTGTTGGCCCATTTCCCAAAACCACAGGCCTAAGGAGTTAAACCACATCTTTGGTGAATAAGAAACTGTGTAAGGTGCACTTTCAATATATTGTTCACATTTACAGAAGAAGCTTCCCATTTCCTCCAACTGCTGACATCTGTGTGCTCTTTTCCCACTAACATTTCTAGAAGGCTTCCACATTTTCTCTACTCTTTCCATACCAGTTTTCACCTAGGAGAATTCTCTGAACGTTTATTCCATTGCTAAATGTTTCATTCTGGGAACCTTAGTAGAGACCTACAGGGACTGTTATGTTTTAAAATTATTGTTAAATAGCAACACTTCTTACTTGATAAACTTTTCTTAATTTTTAAAAATTAATTTCCTCACTGCTTCAGGTCTCATTCCAGAAGCATAGGACTTCAGAATCCCTTATTAAGCTAATTACTTTACTTGAGCTCTGAAGGACAGAGCCACTTATTCATGACTTTCACCCCTCAGTACTAGAACAAGTGCAGACTAATTAAATGTTACTAACAGTATTACCTTGCACAGAGCATTTATCTAACATACTGTGCTTTCAAGACTACTAACTTGTGGAGGTGAATTAATTTATCACATGTATTTTGTTTTGTTTTTTAAACTAGAATATGAGGTGTCCCCCCAAAATGTATACACTTTTTTTTTCTGATAGCTCAATTGATGTTTCTTTTCTTTCAGATTTAACCCATTGGAATTAATAATTATTCAAAGTGTGTGTACATTTTTGGGGACACCCTATATATTATTTGTTTGCCTAAATCTAAAGAGTACATTTTTGGTTTACCCTTTAAAAGAATGGTTACTTAGAAAACTTTGGTTTATCTGCAAAATGGGAATAATAATACCCATCTTGTAGCATAATTGGAAGAGGGAAGGAGATAACAGATGTAAGGGGCACCAACAGTGCCAGCCACAGAGTATGCATTCAGTCATTGTTAGTTGAATCAGAATGAAGCAGTTTGCAATCTCTTGAAGGAGACAGTGCAGTGCGGTTCATGTATGAAATGTGAGGTCAGAGACATGGGTTTGTGTTCAGACTTGGCTGCTTAACATATCTAATTCCCACTGTATTCAAATTAAAATAGATCTAGTTATGAGGATTTTAATATTATAGTTACAAAGATTATGTAAGGCAATGCACATAAAATACATGGCATAGTTGGACTCACAGTTGACACATAAAATTAAATATATATATATTTATATATATAAATATAAATATATATATACATTGATTGATTGATTCATTTCAGAGAGGGAGAGGGAGAGGGAGAG